ACTTTCACCCCCAAGTAAGGGTAAGTATCACCCCAAAATATTTAAATGGCATTGGGGGTTGAGTAATATTGCTTTTGATTTGAAAGCTCTTACAATTCTCTTTACTACAGACTTTAAATTTTATAATTCCGCCCAATACGTTGAAAAAAATTTACATTTTAAAGTTTAAATTATGATTAGTTGCTTACTTACTACTTAGTTGATTAAATGTTCAAACTGATGACCGCCCGCTTCCATACAAGAATAAAGATTTTGTTCGAAACGTTCGCGCACATTCCGAATCACTTTCGGAATGATTCGACGGCATTCGTCGACGATTCTTTGACGCAAATCTTCCAGCGACGCTGACTGTGTTTTATAGATTTTACTTTTTAGGTATCCCCACAAAAAGAAATCAAGGGGCGATAAATCCGGTGATCGTGGAGGCCACTCAATGCTGCCTCTTCTCCCAATTCCGTAGAAAACGTTGGACCAAATACTGACGGACAATTAACGCATAATGCGGAGGAGCACCGTCCTGTTGAAAAATCAAATGATCTTCATCATACTCTGGAACATTTTCAATAATATCAGTCAAGGCAGGGTCAATAGCGTCTTCCAGTAATTGCAAATACATTTGGCCAGTCAAATTACCAGGTAGAAAAAAAGGACCCACCAGCCGGTCACCGAAAATTCCAGCCCATACATTTAATTTTTCCGGTTGCTGTGTATGCACCTCGTGAAAAACTCTTGGGTTTGAATCGGACCAATAGCGGCAATTGTGACGATTTACCGTCCCGTTCAAGAAAAAACTGCATTCATCAGAAAAACAGATGTTAAAAAGGAACTGTGGATCGTTCCCTGCTCGCTCACTCATTATTTCGCAAAATTGCAAACGGCGGTCATAATCATCCTCATGAAGTTCCTGGACTAAATGTATTTTGTATGGATGGAATTTATTCTTCTTCAAAATGGTTTGTATGCTAGTTCGATTGATCCCAGACACAGATGCCAGCTGCCTCGTACTTAATGTAGGATCAAGATGAACTTGTCCCAAAACTGCAACTTCACTAGCTTCATTAACTATAGGTTTTTCAATTTCTCGTTTTTTATTGGCTACGTTCCCTGTCTCTTGAAATTTTTTTACTAACTCTAGAACATACTTCCTCCTGACATGTCGATCTTGATGTTGTTCATTAAATAGCTGAGCTGTTCTATTCGCACATTTATTGTTCATAAAGTAAAGCGAAATGATATCTACCCTTTCCGCAATGGAATAAACCATAGTGTTTAATTTTCAAAAACACAATTAAATAAACTACCAACCAACGCTTCCAAATAATACTAGAAAATAATTTGGAATCCACTAATTTTACGTTCATTGTGTGTGTATAGCATTCATTTCTGTTTTTTACAATTGTGTTTTTTTTACGAAAGTGATAACAAATCGCCAAAAACCAATGTAACGCAAGAAATACTAAATTTATACCATTGGCGTACTTAACTCGAATGACTGACATTTTTACCGTTACTAATTGTTTGTACATAAGTTTCAACTTTAAAATCAAAATTCTTAATAAGTATTGGGCGGAATTATAAAATTTAAAGTCTGTTGTAAAGAGAATTGTAAGAGCTTTCAAAAGAAATATTACTCAACCCCCAATGCCATTTAAATATTTTGGGGTGATGCTTACCCTTGCTTGGGGGGTGAAAGTGGCGGAGTCAAAAATACCAGCAAAGAATGTCCCCCCTTTAATCTAAAATTGACGAGTCTAAGCGTTATTTTACAATCTTGACGCAGTTCCTGAAAATGGCCCTGTTTCGTTTTCATTTGGTCACCCTGTATAGAATTTGTACAACGATTTTCAGCTTTAGTAAATTCATTTTATTACCTCGGTAGGTACGACAACTTTGATAGTTTACCTGAGACACCTGTTGTTAGTTTCGCTTGACTAACCACAGCATGTTTGTGTACATAACTACTGTAATCAACTATCAAAAAATAGGCTCAGTAAATTGAAACAATTTTTTTGCCTCTGGCTCGCCGTCTATATTTGTTCTATCATTGTCTTATTAAAAGTGCGATTTCTTATCTAAAAATGTCAGCCTTAAAGTAAAATATAGGCTAAAACATTAAGTCATTTGATTTAAAATTTTGTACTTAAATTATGGAGACTTAAATTTGTATTAATTTCTTAGAATTGAAAAAATATGTACGTAATAACTGTAACAACATTGAACGGGATAATAAGCATTATGTCATAACTTTTTCTTGAAAAAAGATATTTATTTTTAAACAGAGAATCTAATAAAGAAATTAGGCTAACTAGATATACATGTCAGGTAAAAGAGTAGTAAAGAAAACAATTCTAAACAGACAGCACTGAATAATTTTGAAAGTTTATCTTTTTATCTTCAATAATGACAGAGAATGAAACAAAACAAAACGGTATTTACAAAACGGTGTGTCTAGGTAGCTCGTTTCTTATGTCCAGTTGTATATTTTAACCTGTATTTGTTATGAAACTTAATCCAATTGGTTTATAATACCGTCCAATATCTCATTATGCCCGTGGGTAAATAAATGAATCAGAAACATTAACTTAGTATCCACAGTTTATATCCCTTCATATGTAACATTTACATAATCAACAAAATAAAATAGTAACTGAAACAATAAATACGAAAAAATTATAGGAACATAATTATCAAAATAGTATTTTACTTATTTTTCATTATTCCCAAGAGGCTAGACTCTAATTTACCAAGCGCGACGTTACGAACGACAAATTATAAGGGTCGATTTTTCTAGGCAAAAAAAAATAACAATTTTGCTTATAACGATGATCTTTGTAGAATTGGAAAAGTTACTCAAAAACCCTTGAAAATATAGACAATTTGTTTACCTTCAGGCAAAATCAGAAGAAAAAGTAACCAGCGGCGTCAGAATTAGGAGGGGTTTGAAAGGTTTCAACTAGAGATTTAATAAATTAGTAATTTGAGAAAAAAATAGGAAACATTGGGAAAAACCTTTTCTCCGATTTTTCTGAAGCAAAAAGTTTGTAGAAATAGAAAAATTGAGTCAAACTCGAAATAAAAACAGATACATTTTCTGAAGTAAATCTCAACAAATTTGAAACTGACGTATTTTAACAAAATTTATGGATATATTCAGGGTCGGAGTGCCTTCAGATCTCAAATTAGTAAATCTCAAGCACAAATTAACAAAATATGAACTTAAAACAACAAAAAAAACAAACTCTTAATTTTTGATGAGTAAACAACAACAAGAAACAAAATATCGGTTTCTTATAACTAAAAAACAATATTTTAAGCGTTTTTTAAATAAAACTTTAAGGGAAAGGTAAACCAGAAAATCGATCTCGGGAAAAAACATTATTACGCAAATTTACTTACCGAATCGGTTTTAAAACGTTTAAGTCAAAAATCTCGAGCGCGACGAGAGCGGCGTTCACGCGCATGGGCGGGCCCGGCGCTCCTTCTCCGTTCATTACCGTTAACTTTTACTGCTGCTAGCGCGCTTATTATATGAACTATCAATGTAAAACTTTCTGAAAATAAAAGTTTAACCCTTTCTTTAATTGTTTCTAAAATCCCGGTCCGATACGTCCAATAGTTAATTAACAATTAACGTTATATATAAAAAAAACCTATCTTGGGAACAAAGAGGCTTAGTCGATTTCTCTTTTTTTTAATTACCGTAAAGATAAGCTCTATTTAATGCAAAAAGAGCGAATTCCCGAGCGGCTTTTGCCTGACTGAGACAACGGTGTTTTGTACGTCCTACTATGTTAATTGTAAAGCGCTATTTAATATCAACTTTTTGAAATTTTTCTTTTTGGATACGTTTCTTTGGATCAATTAGAACCTACATCTATGATAATAACTTCTAAAATTAACATTTAGTAATTAAACTATTAGTTGCAAAAAACGAACAAAATTAATTAATAAATACCTCGAGCAACAATTTCACGGTCAATAGAATTGGCCTTTGGCACACATGTTGGTCTTTGAATTGACCGACTTTTCTATAAATTTATTTTATTTACAACATAAAATGACTAATTTTCTAATAGGTCGTCTAGATTTTTGTGGACAGTAAAAAAAGTGAAAAAACACGTAAATTTGTCACTTATTTGCAATTTGCCAACTTATCGTCACTTCTTTCGGATAATTTTTTTGATATTATCATTCTACATACCTTTCCCCGTCATAAAGTGCAGTAAAATGTCCACTAATAATAATTTTTTCACGTTCAAACTCTAATTCGACAGGAGTATACAATCACTGGGACATAATGATTTGCTTTTTGAATTCTACAGTAAATATTATTGCATTATTTAAATTAAAACTTATATCTAGGCAACGAAGTCTCTCCGTCATAATCAAACTTGTGTCGTTAACGACGCCAGTATATTGTCCATTCTAAAGCTCGCCCACCCTGTACTTCGCTCGCAGTTCTTATGCACAAACGACAAAACCTTTCCCAGATGAAAACATTTAAGCGGGATTGTACTCTGAAAATAGCAAGATGAAGGGTATAAAGTATCACGTATTTACGATGTCTGCTGACGGATATCGCTTGCACGCCATCTGTTATTTGATCTCCCGTATCACCTTACAGGATAGCGTTTCATACCAAACTTAGGCCCGTGTCTCATACCTATTAAGAGCATTTATAAATAACGCCCGAAGATTAACAGATACGGATGTAATTCGGCGACCTGTTTTGGCCTTAGTCTTTCACCGGCGAAATTCGAAAAAAGGCGAATGATTTAACGCTTAAAAAATAAATACGCGCTTGATTTAATGTTATTTAATCCACGCTCGCGGTTTATTTCGGTATAGCGTTTTCAAAATTGTGCTGTTTCACGTGCGGATTTTTTTTTACGAATTTGACTAACTTGCGTTAAAATATTTACGCTACAGCGTGCGTGATCTCGGGGCTAGAACTAAATTGGTGCTATATGCTACATGTGTATTTTTTATTTATAACTCACCTTAATGTCGTCATTGAGATTCTCCTTCTTGACGGGGACCTTCGTGATGGAGACCTCACTAGTGGCACTCTTTTCCATGTAAAGGGAATCGCGGCCTGTCCGGTTTTCGAAGTTGGACGGCCTCGCGAAAAACTGCGCACAAGTACTGGAGATACACGCGTGTGTAGGTACCAGGGCGGCCGCACCAGCTAAGTTCAACAATGATGATTATTTTGGTACTTGAAGGGGGTATTCGCGCCAGTGTTTCAAATATTTAACGCGCAAACTCTCCGGTAGTACGTCTGCGCGCCGCAGGCGTTGGTCACCGCGCGTCTATTTCGGGAGAGCGCTCAGGCAGGTTCGCGAGTTACAGGGTGGGACATTCATCGAATTCCTGTACGTCACCGCCGTTTTTTCTTCCAAATGGAAGCATTCCGAAGGATTAGCAATAAGGAACATTAATAAATTACCTAAAAAGCAAACAAAAAAACAGAAATTAATTGGATTTGTGAATGCCATATCGAATAATTAAAGAAATGGCGGACAAAATGTTAAAAATGTCCACTTTGTTCTAATAATAGATCTTTCTTTATAGTATATTAGTGTTATTGTAATTATCGACATGTCCATTGCACGTCCAAACGGCCTTGAACAGCATAAGCGGATGTAAAACGTGCATCCAGTGAAGTGAACAATAATTTGTGGATGTCCAATAAACGTGTGTTGTCTCAGACCTCGCTTATAAATAGTGCATGTTCCTTATTTTATCGTGCATAAATAGAACACCCTATATGTTTTACCAAAAATCTGACGCTTTCACACTTAAAATTATGGTTTTCAATTCGATTGTGACAGAGAGTTAATTTTAAAAGGCCACCTTTACTCCTTTTTGCGGCATTTTAGACACGTGTATAGATGAGTAAATATTCAATATGGATAGCGATGTCACCCATTTACAAGGAAGGCAAAGCCCATGCATGAACATACTGTCATGCCACCCGCACCATTAACCTCCCCCCAAACCGGTCGAAAACTGCCCCGAAGAGGAGTTAATCGCATATACAGGGTGATTCAGAACTTATCCAAAAAGAAATGTTTGAATTGAAAGAATTTCTTTCCCAAAGATTTGGGCCCGTCTTACGACTAATACTAATGTTGTTTTGCTTCATCATAACACAAATCCTTCACCATAACACAATTAACACAAATGTTGTCTTGCTTCACCACAAATTAAAACAGTATACATCAACTCCGAGTTGCTATACACTTAAACCATTTTTGACGTTCGAAAAACTGATGTAAACACTATCGCAAAAACGTTAATACTAAAATCGGATTTCAGTATTCAGAATCGCCTGGAGCCACGTGGATAGAGAGCGCTTGTGTAAAGCGCACAACGCGATTGACGCTGGAGACTACAGTATCCCAGCGATGTAAGGATTGTAAATACTACAACAATAATTTTTTTCTCGGCAACTATAAGGATTTCTCAAAAAATATTTTTACGATATTGACTCCTCTATAAGAAATGAAATAAATGTTGATGTACAGATATGACTTACATCTATTTTAAATTTTCAAATCTTCGACCAATGTGAGTGGTACACGACCAGAAATCAAAGTTTTCGTTACTTATCGATACCTAAAAGCGGTCCTTGCTTATTTAGAGCGAAATAAAATCCAAGGGTATACTGAGGGTTCCACACGACATGTTCAAAGAACCTGAAAGGTCAAAATTACATACTGTTTACTATTTTGACCATATTTTTTAAAATTCATTCAAAAGGAACTATTAAAAAATATTTTTGTCTTCAACTTCGGATAGTCATTATTCTTTTATTTGGAGCAGTTGTAAATTGCGTTGTTCATAAAACATAATATACCCCTACTTGTACAGTACACCAGCTGATCCATACTGTTGTATTGATATTTTGGAAGGATAAGGCAGATTTAATTCTAAGACTAAAAAACACACCATTTTCATAACCTAATCCAAAACAAGTACTCGCTTCATGATAATTCTAGTATTCGCCACCAGGTGGCGCCGAGAATGCTGGAATCGCTAATATCCACAGTAATGTAATCTATATTCTTAATAACATAGCATAGCGGAAAATGGGAATTAAAAATATAACCAAACTTTTTTGGAAATGGAATTCTAAATTTTTGTAGAGCATTTCAAATGTCTCAAATCTCGAAACCTGTACTTAGTTTAAAACAGGTAGGTGTTAAGTTATCTCTAAATCTATCAATTTGTGATTGTAACATCTTTCAGTTTATATTAAAACAGGAGGTTAAGAATCTGTACAGAAATATACTGAGATCCATTAGGAAAATTCCGGATGGAAATCACCGTAAAGAGTTAATAGAATGGGCCCGGAGAGACTTTAGAGTAAATGCCCATTATACAGATGAAATTACTATAAAGATGTATATACGATACGGAGAAAGGTGTTTGAGAGAATTAGAAACCAGTCTTAATTTAGCAAAATAATTTATTGTGTGTTAATAAATTAGTGTAGGGATATAAATGGTATGTAAAATAAAAAATGTGTACAAATGTGTGACTAGTACAAAAATATTTATTTACATGTATTTTGATAGCCTTATAAGTACGTGTTGTTGCGAAATATAAAAATTGTTCGAAAAAGCATAGTAAAGCTCATCTCTCACATTATTTTGCAATATATTAAAGGCTAACTTTGTAAACCATAATGGAATATTTGATAGCTATATACTCAAGATATTCATAATTCTTAACATATAGCCAGGTTAAATTAACTTTTCCTAAGTATTTTACTTAACTAATTTTATAAATTCACAACAAAACTTTTAAAATTGTCAATAAGCACTGGATTACTAGTATGAAAGTAAAAAACCAAGTGATGATTACAGTTATTATTCTAGCTCCGCTTTTGCCACACCTTTTTCTTAACAAAATCAGTCCCAAAACGTCAGCTATATGCTGGCCATCCATATATATAAAAGGTATTACATTGACTATAGCTAAACCTAACGAAATCACGGCAGTGTACTTGACGAATTTTGTAACAACATCCGGCAAGACTGTCGAATTAAAAAATATATTTGGAATATAGGAAGATACCTCGACCGTCCGATATATATCGCTAGCAAGACCTAAGTATATTACATTCTTATCCTCACAAATAATTTTGAACAAATTTGTACCATTTGCCAAGATCGGCCGAAAACAATAAAAGCCGTTTGGACAAGCGTGAGGGTCTGCCGAACAAAAATTCGTGGATTTCTCGACAACAGACCTGCCAGGTAGACAGGCATGACTAGGTAGCTCCAATACACCGTCAGCGGAATCTAAATATTCAAAACATATATTCTTAGATTTTTCTTTATCGCAACAGTCTAAATTACCGTTCTCTAGGTGCTTTAAGGGGATGCTTTCATCTAAACTATGCACTACATCCGATTCAATACAAAACGCGGGTTTCGGACCTTCTAGGCTTTGTAAACAGCTGTACCACTTATTCTCATCGTTTATATCACAATCATTCACTCTGTAAACAGTATCACCAACACTTAATCCCTTTGATCCCAAAAGAGGCGAATGTTTCGCTATATTTGCAATAGTAATACCTTTATTTACATGATAGAAAGATGAAAATATAAATGGCAAGGCCTGGAATAACAAAAATGCAAACAAAGTTAAGACGAGGTTGTGCCATATGCCGGCACATAGTATTTTTAAAACATTTTTCCTGTTTAGAGAAGAAAATTTTTCAGTTGAAAGACTAACATATGCCACAGGCAATATGTAAAAGATGTTAGCACCGGTATCTATCAAATTAACGTTCTCTAAAACTGCAGCTAAAGCATGCCCAAGTTCGTGAACGATACTACACAAAACTAATGTTAAACTATAGTAACCCAATTCCGACACTGGTAAATTTACGCCAGGTACAACGGGCTCAATAATAACTCCTCCTTCTGCACTGACAAAAACATTTTGAATGAAAGAATACAGTAAGAGTAATACTGACACCGGAAGTAATAGGAGACTGGCGTATAAACCCAGTGTGAACCACAAATGTAGGAAACGGGGCCTACTATTGCCCCATCTTATTATAACACGATTGAAGGCCTTTGTCTTCCATTTTATAGACAGAAAACTTATTTGAAATCCAGTACCTTCTAAGAATTTTAGATATGGATAATGGGCACAGGTCTGAAATTGAATAAATCTTAACAAGGCAAAAACATGAATATAGTAAACAAGACTGTACCTTAAAAAAATTATCAAAAAAATACAGCACGCCATGTATAACTCCAATTACTATAAACCCTGTGGTAATATCCATTTTACATTAAAACCATTTCACTATAAAAATGTTTTTAAATTTATTTAATCATTTAGGTTACATTTTTGAGAGACAGTAACTGACAGTGCCGCCAATACAACAATTCTTCCACTGAACAGTGCTACCAACAGTTCTCTCTAATTTCGTGGGTGTTTGTGAAAAGTTTGTCAATTTTTTTAGAATAATGGAAGTTGAAAGTAATAATACTGAATTGGGAGAAAAAAAGTCTTACGCCGGCATACCGGAAGCTGAATTTGTCGTACGTATTTATCTAGAATGAAACGATTTAAGTTCTCACGTGCCGTCTAAAAATAATCGGCAAACCGTAACCTCAACGGGACCTTATGATTTTCAATTTTTCAGGAAGATGTCGATTCTTACATGAAGAGACCGGAAAATAATGGGAACGTAGACGATGTATTAAAAAAATTAGATAGCCAGCATGCCAAGTACAAATTTATGGAATATAACCTATTGTCAAAAAAGAGACGTTTGCAGACCCAAGTTCCAGAATTGAAGAGATCTCTCACCATGATTGAAAAGTTAGAGGAACAGAAAGAGGAATTCGAGACCCAGTTTTTGTTAAGTGAACAAGTTTTCGCGAAGGCCAAGGTTCCTCCGACAGACACAGTTTGTTTATGGTTAGGTGCAAATGTTATGTTGGAATATAGTTTAGAAGATGCCAAGAAACTCTTGACGCAGAACATTTCGGCAGCCTCTCGAAATCTGAGCTATGTTGAACACGATTTAGATTTTCTGAGGTAGGTTCACTAATATAAAATATATTTTATTATTTTCTAAAAAATCTGGAAATAGTAAGTTCTTTTTATCTTTGAGTGTTAGTCTTTGTCAAAGGTGATGTTAGAACAACAAGAATATAAGATATTTCAATATATCTGGTATGTGATTTTATATTAATAATATTTAGACAGCATTTTTAATTTTTGTTTACTGGACATTGCTGGTGTAATTTAGTATTAGTTTATATGATCTGGTGCTTAAGTAATAAATGTTTCAAGTTGTTTTAATAAAACTTTTGATGTTTTGGGGAAAAAAATATTTTGATATCAGTGTTTTCTTATACTAAGTGTTGCTCGCAGCATGGAGTAATTTGATCAAAACGCAGATGCCTCAAACTTGTAGATAAATTGGAAAAAATGCAATTAGACATTTTCAGATCACGAGGTAATATTTTTTTTGAGGTAATAATTCATTAAATATTTATAAGCGATTTCGTACTTATCCCAGGAATAATTCGGTAATAGATTCAGAGTCCTGAACATGTGGTCATCATCATCAATGTTAGTTTTAAATATTTTTTAACACGATATTTGTGCGAAATAAGCATGAAAAATGTGATGTTCACCATAACAATAAATGAACAGTGATTGTCAAGGAAATGATTTCATAAACAATGATGTGTTTGCATAAAAAAATGTGTAGTGTTTTGTTACTAAAATTTATTCTACAATGAAAGTAATGCCAACCTTATAATCAATTTCGCTAAAAACTAGTATAAATTTTTATTTGATTTTGACATTTTTAATTCAAACTGTTATCAACTTTATTCCAGTCAAATTGGAGGAAAATTGCAAATGGGTGGCAAATTTATGTGTTTTTTCACTTTTTTGACTACCCACGAAAATCTAGACAACCTATCAGAATATTAGTTATTTTATGCTGTAGGCAAATAAATTACCTGCAATTTAAAGCGCCTAAAGTCATATTTCACCTATTTGTCAACTGTAAAATAAAGGTTGAACGCGAAAAAATCAGTTCTCGAAAATTGCACATTATTATTGCAAAAAACGATGGATGTTGATGAAATTTTTGAAAAAGACAGTCAATGCAAACACCAACATGTGTGGCAAAAGCTGATTCGATTGACCGTGAAATTGTGGCTCCAGCTATGTGATAATTAATATCGTTTGTTCTTTTGCAATTGTCTAATTACTAAACTTTAATTTTACAAGTTAATATCGTAGATAATAGGTTGTAATTGATCCAAAGAAATGTATCAAATAGGAAAAATTTCAAAACATTGAAATTAAGTAGGACTTGCAAAACAGTCGGGCAAAAGCTGCTCGGGAATTCACTCTTTTTTGCATTAAATAGAGCTTATTTTTACGGTAATTAAAAAAAAAACAGATAAATCACCTACTCTTCTTTGTTCCCAAGATAACTTTTTTTATAATGTTAATTGTTAATTAGCTATTGGACGTATCGGACCGGGATTTTAGAGAATTAAAGAAAGGGTTCTGATAGTAGAAATTGTTTTGCAGGGATCAGTTTACCACGACAGAAGTGAACATGGCAAGGGTTTTCAACTGGGATGTCAAGAGACGTCAGGCTGCCAAGGCCGCAGCGAAATGAGGGAGTCCGAATTAGACGTTCGACTATCGATTCATCACACCATCCGATTCATATATTTAAACCACTAATATTATCAGGCGTGATATTTTTATTGATATCAGTAAATTTGATTTTTTTCAATGGAGAATGCATTTAAGCGACGGCAGAGTGGTGTAGCATTTATATTTATGTAATTAATTTTTCTTTTCATTCAAAAAAGTGTTTCAGCTTGTATTATAATTTATTTGCCGAATTTAATATTGTTAATAAAAAATTAAATTTCTCTGCAGAACTGCTGTTTTATATTCCACACAACATAAATCAATTTGAAGAAGACTCTTTTTATTAACATTTAAACAGATAACAAATTTTAATATACAAGGTGATTCGTAAAGAATTGTTAAGCGCAACAGTGAACGATATTAATATTTTGGCTATTACACGTTAATAAAATGGCGACAACTAAAAAGCTAAAAAAACGTTAGAAAAATATAATTTATGTATTTTTTGATATTACTTGACAAATTATGAAAATTGCCTCTTGAAAACTAGTAGGCATGTGTCATGTGGAGTGGGAAGTCATAATTCACCTTCAGTTTTTTTTTTAAACACCTAGAGGGCGCTACAAATGTGACATATACAGTGTGTCCCGTTTTTCAGGTTAACACCTCTGGAAATGTGAGAAGGCTGTGAATTTTCCGCAAGCCAATTTTTTTTACAAATAGTACCCTGAAAGGTTATATTCTACTAATCATTTTATTGATGTCACAAAAGCCTGACCTAGTACGATTTTTTAAAGGGTTGTTTTTCCAGAAAGTAGTAGACATTATTTTATTAAAAAGATAATATTACCAGGCTATTCAACACCCATTAAAATACCCATATACCAAATTTGAACGACAAATGTCTATTGAGGTTTTTTTATGTGGTGCCATTTTTTGTGTTATTATTTTTATAATTAATTAATTAATATAATTAAAAGTATTAAATTTATAGTGCCTGTATTTTTTCTTTGTCCGATTGGTACTTGTTTTCACTTTCATGACAATCTTTGACCTGCGTATTATAATTCTTAGCTGTCTGATTTTTCAAAGCTTGGCACCATATAAAACAATACTCAATAGACACTTGTTGTTCAAATTTGGTATATGGGTATTTTGATGGGTGTTGAATAGGCTGGTAATATTATCTTTTTGATAAAAAAAATGCCTAATACCACTTTCTGGAAAAACGACCCACTTAAAAAATCGTAGTGGGCCAGTCTTTTGTTGCATCAATAAAATTATTAATAAAATATAACCTCCCTTCATAATACTATCTGTAAAAAAAATTGGCTTGCGGAAAGTCCACAGCCTTTTCACATTTTCAGAGGTGTTAACCTGAAGAACAGGACACACTGTATGTAGTATTAAAAAGGCCGTAATTTTTTTATCTGCAACTTTACCCAAACTAATATAATGCTGTCTTAAAGGTTACTTTTAAAAAATATTTATCAACAGGCCTGAATATCTAATTTCAAGTAAAGAATATTCATTATTGAAGCATTATATGAGCAACAGCGACGGCTCGTGAAAATTAAAGTAATAATATTTTTTTAATGAAGCATGGTACCCATATTATTTTTTAGGGGATGATTTCTAGCCCCACATAGAGAACTTACGTGACAAAAAAATGTGGTATGAAATTTGTGAAATAAAAAAATTAAAATAACGCTTATTGCAAACAAATTTTTTTTTTTTCATAATCGATTTATATGTAGATACAAACAGGTGTTTTCTGGTTTCTCGGAAAATTTAGATTTTTTTAGGTTGCAACATTATGAAGTTTTAGAAAAGAAATATTGGTCGATTATGAAAAAAATATTTTTTCCAAATACAGGTTGACCATTTTATTCTATGCATCCTTTCTCTGTACCTAAGCGAGATACGGAAAAATGGTTCCGACAAAATTTATTCAGGATTATGGGGTCACCTATCCGTGCAATTAACTTTGACCTTGAGATTAATTTTCAAGGTCATTTGTAGGCCATTTTTATTTTAAATATGAACCCCTATTTTTTACACCGAATTCGATAAGAGCAGGAAATTTTACATCTGAAATGATATTTTCAAGTTTGTTTTCGTGACCTCGAGAAGGTCAATTCGAGAACTACCTGGTAGCTGTTTATTTTAGTTTTCTGACGGAATAAACGTTGTGAAAGTATCTTTATAGAAAATATCAAACTCAAATGCGACGACGACCGACGGGCGACGAATGTCAAGTGTTTTTTTTATGGAAAACTTTGTTTTTGACACCGGATTTAAAAAAAGTGAAAAGGTTACCGTCAGAATTGATATTTTAATTATCGTTGCCCTGACCTTGAGAAGGTCAAATGTTGGAAAATTGCTTGCTAGCCGTTTAATTAATTTTTTGGGCGGATTTAACATACTGAAGGCACCTTTAAAAGGTGGATCAAACTCAAATTTGACCTTAAGGTCAATTTTCGAGACCATTTGAAGGTTCCGGTGTTTTTTTTTAAGGGAACAACTATTTATAAACTGGAATAAAAAAGAGTGGAAGATTTTACATCAGAAATGTTATTTTTTGTTATTGTTAAGACTTTAAAAAGGCCATTTAGGGTTTCATATTCCACAAGCACTTGGAAGCTGTTTCTTTAAATGTGTTAAACACACAACGTTAAATCTGCCAAAAAAATTAAATGAACAGCAAACAAATTTCCAACATTGGAAATTTATGGTTAGAATAACATATAGAAATGGTTAGAATAACATTTAAAATATCAATTCTGACGTTAAAATTTTCATTTTTTTTTAATCCAGTGTCAAAACCAAAGTTTTCCATTCAAAAAATACCACCGACCTTCAAATGACTTTGAAAATTAAATGAACTTAAGGTCAACATTGTTAAGGTCGTTGTCACATTTGAGTTCGATATTTCTTAAAAAGGTACCTTCACAACATTTATTCCGCCATAAAATCAATTTATTATGAATACCTAGTGCACCAAAAATTCAAATTGCAATTGTACCAAAACTAATGGTCCAGCAGCGCCTGCTTTGTGCACACTTAAAAGTACAGGGTGATTCACTATATTTTGACCCCCATTTAACTTTTTTGTTTTAAGTTATAAAAAAAATGTGAAATATAAAAGTTGTACAATTTTTTATAAATTTTTAGAAAATGATGGTAGAAAAACAAATGAAGTCCAAACAAAATGGCCGCGGATGTTAACTTTGTTAAGTTAAATGGAACACCCTGTATATTTTTACATATTTGGATAGAATGTTCCCTGTCGAGCATAGTCATATAGGGTTTGTTGGGTCCATCTCTAACAATAAACGAGATAATATTAAAAAACGAAAAGAAGGTTTTTTATTAAGAAAATAATACATCTTGTAATTGTTAGACCTCTTTCGGGCATTTCTGCCTTTTTTCCAATTACGTAAGGATTTACAGATTTAGTTATATTTTGACAGATCGGACATTGATATGGTCCAAAATGCGTGTAGGTATTTTAACTAAATCTCACTTCGTGAGAGGCCTAATTACTTATGGACAATGTTATATGCTAGGCCGTGACAATGACAGGTAATGTCATGACAACATTGTTATTATTTGATAGCTTGCATTCAATTAAAATGGGTTACACAGAAGTGGAAAATTGAAATATTATAGGATTTAAAATAGAGTAAAGTTCTTCTCCATATTCTATTTTAATTGTAATAATTTTCTACTTCTGTGTAACCTATTTTAATTAAATAATATAAATTAATAATATAATATATAAACTGACAAACAATAACAATGTTGTCACTGTCATGGCCTACCATATAACATTGTCCATGAGTAATTAGGCCTCTCATGGCCTAATTAGTGAGATTTTGTTTAATTACCTATACACATTTTGGATCGTATCAGTGTCCGATATATCAAAATATATTCTAACTAAATCTGTAAATCCTTACGTAACAGGAAAAAAGGCAGAAATGTCTGAAAGAGGTCTAACAATTACAAGATGTATTATTTTATACATAATTTATAATAAAAAACCTTCTTTTCATTTTTTAATAGTATATCGCTTATTGTTAGATACGGACTCAACACACCCTATACGACTATACTTGACAGGGAACGTTCTATCCAAATAACAAAGTTAACATCCGCGGCCATTTTGTTTGGACTTCATTTGTTTTTCTGCCATTATTTTCAAAAATTTTATAAAAAATCGTACAACTTTTATATTTCACATTTTTTTATCTCTTAAAACAAAAAAGTTAAAGGGAGGGTCAAAATATAGTAAATCACCCTGTACATATAATTCATTACTTTTGTGCTCAGGGTCAGCTCTACAACTTAAAAAAATGGCGAAGTAATGAATTTAAAAAAAGAACACTAAATTTTCCGGGTTTTCTTCATTTCTAATTATCCAATTGGAACGACCTCTAATTTCATTCTTATTTAGATTCCTTTATAGCATTCAGATTGCTTTGTTAGTTCAGGTTTTATAAATATAAAAAACTAAAAAAAAATGGTGGAATGTTTTCAAGTTTTTATTACATGTATCGTTTACAAAATAATACTGCCCTTTACAGCTTCAACAAAAAAAAAAAAGGAAGTATACAAATCGCGAGTAATTTAATTTATAACCAGAACCAAATTTCACCAGAGAACAATATTAAATTGGTTAAGGCACATCCTATTATTTCAGAAAATTTAAATATTGTAAAAACTCGCATAGATGCTTCTAATCATAAATAGTGCAGATATCCGGATTTAACGTATAAAAAAATGGATTATCCAGCCCTGGTTATTGCAGTAAATTAATTTACAAGTTAATAAAGTACAAAACTAATGGTCCAATGCAGGAAGTGAAACTTGAATGTGTAAATAACCACAAAATCGTAGAAGGAATGTCGACAGAACTTTTATTTCCGAATATAAAAAAAATTTCAAGTAAAAAGACTTTCAGTTTACGCTAGATTATATATGTATTGCACAATCTATATCTCTATTTGCTCTTACAGATAAATCATAATGGCTTTTTATAAATAGTGCCTACAAAAATAGTAGTTCTTTTCGCTAATTATTACGATCGTAATCGTAGCCTGTCTACCACTAACGGTATATTAAAATATTTCGATTCGTCCAACAATTTCATTTCAAAGTGCAAACTTTCGAGTATTCAGACGTTATTTTTTAAAGGCAAGACTGTTAATGCACAGAGCAAAGCTATATTAGCAAATGTAAAAAGAATGGTAAATGTACCGACTCCGCGTAAACTTTGATAAACCCCAACTAAACGGTATTCTATAAACAAACAAACGCACATTTATTATATTAAAATATAAATCAAAATCTAAATGGTAAAAAAAGGAACTTAAATGGCATTCAACAAAAAAAGAAAGGTTAGAGGCAACCAGGGCAGTACTATAGTTATGCGTCGGGGTCGAGATTCTCGTCAGGAGCTCCGTCTTCTCCGACACCCTCTGCAGCGGGTTCCTCGGTGGGTTGGACTTTGGCACCCGCTTCGAGCTGCTCTTCTAGTTCTTTAACACGTGCTTCTGCCTCATTTAATTTGTTCTGTAACGTGTCATGAGTCTCGTGTCCAGCTTGAATTGACAGTTTGTCTATTATATATCTATTCTGCTGTTAAGAAAAGCTAATGCAAATTGCAAACGTACGTTTACAATGTCATCTAAGAATAAAAACAGCAAATACATAATTTATTTATAACTAAAAAGGATACTGCAAAGCATTCTCTGGTTTATCAACTTCTTCATAAAGGTTAACTAGAACCTTCGTTAATGCATCCATAATGCCATTTTTTTCTAAATACTTACGGAATTCCTCACGTTTTCCTTCGGACGGCTAGAAATTCAAAAATTCGAATTTGTCAAGATAACTAGCAAACACGTTGATTACATTTACCTTATAATTGGGATTTGAAGACATCTTTAATATATGTATATCACTAATATAAAATAATTGTCTACGTTGGACACTTGTTTTTCTAATAAATTTTTATCTCTCCGACCGTCTATTCCCAAAAATTGACAGAATAACGATTTGATGGAATTTTTTATCACAGTAGGTACGAGAGTCACGACGATATTGTTTTAGCTGAAAAATATTCAATGCAGTCTAAAAGAAAGCATAAATTTGCCTTTTCTACATAATTAATTAGTATTTTTGCTGCCCATTACAGTACCTACAAAACATATAATAGACAGTACCATTACACCAAATTTTATTATATTATAAGATCTGTGCACCAATTTTATCTATGATCAAATGAATACAGATGTGTTGCGATTTCACTGTCTGCAGTTGGTCAGGGTTACTCAACTTATGTGGTTGAGTAGCTGTTGGTAGTCTAGCCTGACAGAAGCTCAACGGTCAGCTGTCAGTCGAGTCTCGCAATTTAATGTGAGGTGTATACACATACTTCTATATAGAATAGAGAATATATATATAGAAGTATGTGGGTGTATAGCAGCACTTCCTTGACCATATTTTTACTTTGCCCGAAATCAAGCTAACTAACTAGTAAGTACGTAAACAAAAATATTGCATATAAATTAAAAACGTCAAATATCCTATTTGGGAAAAAAATTACTCTAGTGTTTATATTTGTGTATTATTGGCAACGAATTGACGGTGTTCCAGCGTTGACAACATAACATCTGAAAAATTTACGATTTTTGATTTTATAACATCTAAATCTGACATCTGACAATTTACGAGACAAACAAAACAAAAGTTGCATAAAAATAAAATTATTATTTTTCTACATACATATTCATCTGTATTTTTTAATACTTTTTATGCAACCTAAAATTTGGAGGAATAAAGAGCAAATTGTAAAATGTGAATATATTTAACATGGACATTTTAAAGGCAGAAATTGCAAAAAAGCGCAAACTGTTAGAGGAAAGGGAGTTACTGGTACGTCATTAATTGATCAAACGATTATTTTTTTAAATTTTGGTTTGTATAACAGGGATCGGAAAAAAAGTTTTTCAAAAGAGGGGAACTAATTGCAAAAGAACGTGAGGAATACAAGAAAAAATACTATTTATCAAATGAACGAAATGACAGAACTACAAATGTAACAATAGGTTTGTGTGTTTCCTTTAGAAAAAGCTGAAATAATATGACATTCTATTTCCATTCACATTTTTTAGATGAAGACAAAGAATCGGACGTACAACATAGTATTTTACCCAGAAATGAAGTTATATCGAGATTGCGAGATAGAGGTGAACCTATTCTCTTGTATGGGGAGACAGAGATAGATGCTTTTAAAAGATTAAGGAAATGTGAATTATTAGAGCCTGAAATTGATAAGGTGAACATTCTCACAATAATCTCTACAAGGTGTCAGTTCATGTAAGTATATTAATTTTGAATTTTGCCCTTGTAGGGCTTTCGAAACGATTTCCAAGAAGCCATGGAACAAGTCGATCAAGATTATCTAGACGAGTTGCTTAAAGCTCCTGAAGATGACAAAAACGCAGAAAAATCAGAAAGTAAAACACAAGACCCAACCATTACGTATGAAGAAATTAGAGAAATGGCGAAAGAAATGGGTCGGGGTAATAGAGAACATGATATGACTGTCATTGTACATTTTATTTTGGTAAGTTTACTTTTCTACAATACAGGGAAGGGTATAAAACAAATGCAGTTGAATATAAAAAACTAGCTACACTTTATTTTATTCCATTTTGGCCAAAATGTAATACAATATAAATAAATAGAAACTGCAGTTTTGTATATTTATTGGAAATAAACGCCATGTTGGTAAACAATTAAGTAAAATATATAAAATTTCAGATCTATTCCCATTTGGGACAATATATAATTAATATGTAAAAAGATTTTCTTGAATATGTATCAAATACCAAAAGCGCTTAAGGTATATATGGTGGTGGAGCTTCTTTGCCATTGACTACCTTTGTAGCGCCTGAAAAAATACGAAATAAGTTTACAGTCTTAACTATTAGATATTAAACAGCTTAAAATACAGTGGTTAAAATAGAGAAGTTTTTTTTTAATGTTAGTACCTGGGTAATATGTCGCTTGGGGTTGTACTGGACAACTTGGTTGAATGTACGACATTCCTTGAGTTGGTGGGACACATACAGTCGCAATGCCTATTATCGGGGTAACTTGTAGCAATCGCCCTACAAAAAACAATAAAAATCATCGTTCAGAATACTTCAGTACAAGGTATACCGAGTGTACCAAAATTAATGCAACAAAATTTGGTGACAGATTCTTAAAACAAATTTTTATTTTTGCCAAGTGGCCCCCTCTTTTGGAGTTACAGCCCCCTGAAATCCCCCTAAGAATAGTTTTCTTTTTATATCTCGGAACCCTGTTGTACGAGGATCAATAAATTTGTTACACAGGGGTTTTGTGACATGTGCAATCTGACAGTGCTACGATTTAGGCGGGGCGTAGCACTATCCCCCTGTGTACCAAATTTAGTGATTGTCATACAACAAGGTCCTGAGATATAAAAAGAAGACTATTGTTAGGGGCAGATTTGAGGAGGCTGTAACTCCGCAGGAAGATGTCACTTGGCCAAAATAAAAAATACGGGTCCCGTAAATTTGTCTTAAGAATCTATGACTAAATTTTGTTGCATTCATTTCGGGACAACCTGTTTTAAAAGGATTTATTAATTTGTAATGTTATTACATTATTAAATAATTTATTGATTGTTTTTTAATGTATTCCTAACTTAATATCGATTTTATAAACAAAAATGTTAAAATTAAGTTCAGCATTACATTCATTCTATTTCATTACATTCTATGTTTTTTCGTTGCATTATGAACTGGCATTGTTTATATAAAGGGCAATAAAATAAACATTTATAAATTTCAGCGTTAATTTTGAGTTAAAAACGTATCTACTTAATTGCACCCATGATTGTTCATATTTTATTATATTTGTCAGTTCACGATATTTATAAAAAACTTTATTTATAGATCATATAAAATTGAATTGTATAGTAAGAATTTGTTAAAAGTAAATAGATAAATAGGATCAGCTAATCTTGAATTATTGTGTGTGAAATTTACGAGGAATTTATTTTTATTGTTTCGAAGAATTAAATTATATTTTAAACTGACAAAAATGTTATAATTTATTATTTGATTTTATTAAATTCAAATAGGAAGGGCTGGATTTTCAGCATCCAAGTCAATTGATGTTGAAGTATGTAGGCAAATAGTGGAACAACACTTAAAGATAAAGATATGGAAATATAATAACGAACGCACAAAATTATCTGCTCGGTAAATACACTTGAAAAAAAAAAAGTCAATTTCAAGTACCTTTTTTTTTGGTATTGTATGTAAAATTGATATCTTTCTGATTATTGTTATTTTTTTCTAATTATAACTTGTATCCAAGTAAAATGTTCGGCTCAAATTTAGTCTTAGATTTCAGACAGTTGGTACAATATTTTGTTTTTCTGATATTTTTTCGTATTAATTTAATTGCTGGTAACAAAGCAACAGTAAAGTATTTGGCCGCCAATGATAATCAATATTGCCCTAAAACCGAATTGTATGTTTTATTCATCAAAGTGAAGAATGACTATTTTGTAGTTAAGTAGGTCTAAAAACGATTTTGGGAGTGATCTTGCCAAATGCTCCTTTTTGAATCCACAACAATATGCATCGTTCTTTTTGTAGCACTATTTTAATGCCGTCTAATTAAAGTTGAAACTAATCATGGTGCTGTAAATGCTTATTGATTCATTAATCTTAATTTCCATTTGTTACTTTAAAATATCTAATGTTTTAATTTTTATAATAGCATGTTTAAGGCTGTCTTAATTGTAAATTTCTAAATGCATCATTTTGAAGAAAATTTTAATCTCAAAAAAATTGTCAAAATAATAAAAAGTTAGGTAATAATGTATCAGTGACGTTTATTTCGATTTATGACTGTTTCGCCAAAATTTATTTACTATAAAATTAATGAAAAACTTTAAAAAAAAAAATTACCCAGGAAGATGGCTTCCACAAATAGTAAAATTTCATTTGTCGAAAAAAATGCCAAATAACAATTTTTTATTATTTATTTATATTAAAAAAGGTTGTGGCATTCTCGCACAAACGCTACTGGTGCAAGTAGAAATATTTGGATCACCCCAAAAAATGCACATTTATGCCTCCATAGCATTTTTCAAATTTCAAGTCAATATCTTTAAAACTAAAATAATAAAAATAAATTTAAATTTAAAATTTAAACATTCTGTATCTCGGAAACAAAGCATATTTTGACTTATATGAACTTTTTTTCACAAAATAGCTTTGGCAACCACTCCCTAACATATTTCGCACTTATTTACAAACACCCTGTATTTATCCGTGTTACTGCGAAAATATATTTTAAATTTTTTTAGATGTTTTCACTAGCACAAATTTACATTTTTTAGTATCCTTTTTATTATTTTAGTTAATTCTACACATTGAAATAAAAAATAGATTTTAAATAAACAAAATTTCAAGCCAAGAAATCATTTTTATAATACTTTGCCTACTCATAACCGAATTGGTTAGAACAAGATTTCAAAGCTGTAACTTCAAATTTTCAGTTTTAATTTGCTCTACTGACTGACTAATTCTAAACAAATTTAAGGGATAAGGAAAAATTCATTTTGAATGTTCTTTCTTCATTTAAATAAAACAAATCGATTTACCTTTCTCCACGAGTTTCCTTTTGATGTTCTGATACGAATAGACCACGAAGCTGTAATAAATCACTTGCAGGATGACAGCAACAGTGAAAAGAATGTATGCAATGGTGAAGTAATTGCCTTGGTTATTGTCCATCGTTTTGCCTGTTCGTTAGATGTCTGTTGTCCCCTTCCGCGAAAAACTAATAATGTCACGTCTGTTTAATGAGGTTTATGTTGTTTGTGCTATCAGTTTTATCAACAGATAATTTCATTGGAAGATGCCGGGTATGATGTGGGTAAAATATATTAATTTCCTTATCTTTTATGGAGTCAATTGTTTTATCAGATTGAAGACACACGAATTAACAAAAATTATTCATGTCCTTTTGCATTGAAAATATTTTTAATGAACAAAACAAATTTTAACATTACATGTATTTAAATTATTGTAAACAAATTCTTAAAATCGGACCTAAAATGAAATTTGTCGCAGTACCTAGTCTATCAGAAATATAATAGGTTCGTGTAGCGATCAAATCTATTTATCCCATTTTAAAAAATACTTCTTTGCATATATGCATTCACTGATGTTATACAAAGTGTCCCATTTTAATGTACCAGGCCATATAATTTTTTTAATTCGATCTTTATAAAAAAATATTTCAAACAAATGTTATCAGTTTTTGAGGGGGTCAAATTATGGTGACCTTGTATTTAACCTTGAAGTCAATTATCAAGGTCAACTTTGATTTTTTTCAATGAAAACCCATATTTTTTTATTGCAGATTCGTATGAAACATTTTTTTTTTGAAAATGCTTCATTTCCTTGCCAGAGTGCTCTCTACTTTTACTGTTCCATTTTAATTCTCAGGCTAATATCTCGAGAAATAAGCAGCATGGTGAGAAATATTTCCAACAAAAGTCAGATTTCGGGAGATCAAATTACCATAACCTTGAAATTAACCTTAAAGTCAATTACCAAGGTTATTTCAAGGTCAACCTTGATTTTTTAAAAGGAAACCCATATTTTTATTACAGTTTCGTATTCTGCGGGAAAAAATAAATAACTTTTGTATGAAACTGTTTATACGTTTTTATTTTTATTATTTTACTAGTAATAATAACCTTCCGTGTGTTATTTACTAAATTAAAAAAGTATAACTGTGGGTACCTACATATTTTTTTGCAAACTACAAGCAATATGATAATCTATATACTTCCAACATGAATTCTCTTGTGCAGAAAATGTACTCGGAAATGTTCTTTGTGAAAACTGTTCCGAAATGTATTGTCTGAATCGTTAGAAAACAATTTATTTTAAATTGTGGATTGTTTTTGCAGACTGTCTTACATCAAGGTGAAAATATTTCTTAAATACTAAACCAATTACTTCATTTCACTTCTAATTCCACTTTGATTTACTTTAATCCTAATCTAGGATTAAAGACTCATAATCAAGCATCCTTGAGTATTCTTGAAAATGTACGAAAGTAGATGTAACGGCACACAGTAACCTATTATTATTTGTATTCAAGTTGCTGTTAATCCCTTCCGATCAAGAAATTTAGCCGACTTCAATTTTAATTTTAAATGATCACTGATAACTATCAGATGAATGGCGTTGGATTGAGTGCGAAGTTGTGCAAGATACTGTAAATTTATATCACCGTGTGTGCAAACGTGAATCATATTTTGCACACATCCTTTGAATAAAGTCCTGTAGATAAAAGTTTAATCGCATTCTCAGACTTTAGAGAAGAAAACAGCAAATCGTGCATATAGAAATATTTCTAATAGTACTATTTGTTATTTTAAAACAATGTTTTTCGATACCAGATATTTTATTTTGAAATTTCTCAATAATTTTGAAAACCATCAGAGTATGAACAAAAAAATTGGCACTATTACGTTTTTTGACGTAACAAACAAGAATTTCTAAGTAATTTTGGTGTTGCTTGTATAGGGCGTCAGTAATGCCCTATTCCTTTCATAAATAGGGGAAAATTTTGTTAACCTTTAGAATTATGGAAATTGTGTATTGAAAATATGAAAGAGCGTCTTTCGTTTCATAAAAAAGATGCTCTAGTTCGTTTTCGATATCTTTTATATATAAAAAATTTTATTAGTAAATTATTTATGTTTTCTTTGAATGAAATTTGCGATTGATTATTTATATTTGGATTTGGAATTGAGCAGACATATCTAATTTTATTGAAAATGATAAACCCAAACAAAAATATGTGATCTAAAACCATCTCAATTAAAATAATGGATGTCATTAAATTCCTGTATTAAACAAATATCTCTTAAATGATAAAAATCTACAAATTTCTTGAGTATAAAAACCGTTATCAAGAAAATAATCTAAACGATGTCATCCTATCGGACGCAAATTCTATAATTTATACCAGCTCACTGAATTTATTATTGCAAAGCAGATAAACTTGTAACTGTAGTTATAAAAATGTAACTGCATGGATATGCGTCGTATATTTTTCAAATTATATTTTGATATAAATTATTCCCAATTTCAAAAGAAATACAATTGTTTTATGGGTCATTGCTTTCAGAATTTATGAATTTATAGTTCATTCTGCAGAGAATCTGTAAATGCGCTTCCTTTTGAAGATGTTCAAAGATAATGAAAATCTGTGGTTTGTTTCAAGTTACAAAAAAAAAATTGAGAGCTCTGTATGAATAATATTTTATTTACTAAACTTTTATTATTAGAAAATATTTACATTATAACATATAAACGTGTTTACACTTTATAAATATACAGTCATATGTTTGTTCTTAATAAACATTTGTGGATATGGGCGTAAGCAGTCTGGGAGCACCAGTACCTGAAAATATATAAATAACGACATGTAATATAAAACAATATAAAAAGAAAATAGAAAATTATGTCAACTACAGACAATATACGTCATATTTAGTGCGTGAATGAGCCTCTCGAATGATTACATCTACAAATTTTGTGTACATGTACACTTTTATCATTTATTTTGAGAGCAACTCTTAACAGAATAAACTGCATGACTAATTTTTCACTGCATTGCAGACGGAATTGTACCAAAGTTAGGTCTCCGGAAAAATATATCGGAAACATCATCGAATCTTGATCATAAGTACCGTTATTGTTTGTTTTGATGTTTTTTATTGTCAGTTGAAGTAATAATATTGATCATTAGGTCATTAGGACAAATTATTGAATTTGTTGTTGAATATGAATACTGATTTTTTATAATTTCACAAAAAAAAATGTTGTCTTACTGCAATCTACATTATTGGGATGTATTGGCCTTAGTTCCCTCCTTCGCCACTTAACTTCAACCTCTAGGAAGTAATAACCTGGAGAAATTGAAAAATATGTTATTTTTTTTTATACAAAATAACATCTATAACAAAATAATAACATGTGCTGAAAGAAGTATAAAAAAATGAAAAAAAAATATAGGGGAAAGTACATAGTGTGTATTCCTAAATTGTTGTTATTGATGAACGGGGATTGTAACAAAACAAAGTTTCTTACCTTCATCTATCATCTTCAGGATCCTCCTCCTTCCTAAAACTGCCGCCACCAGTTGTATAAATACTGAGAAAATCACTACAGCAAATATAACGAGGAGAATTATTGCTATAGTCTCCACCATTTTTATATGTTATTGCTCTGTTCTATTAAAGTAAATAAAGTACACAATAAATACGATGTACTTTAGGAAAAAAATTTAGTATCAACAGATGTTATCAGCCTTATCTTTTATATTAACAAATACAGAATACAGAGGGAATACGTTTAGTGCAAAATGTTGTTTAAAAACGCGGACTGTTGGTGTATAAATAAAAAATGAGCAGGTTATTTTGAGTAATAAATATTTATTACAGTTTTATGTCTAATGTTGGACATGAAATTAAGAATGGCCAAAAATGAATTGTAGGTTAATGTTCTGTTAAGGGACCACCCTATATTTTATTACTATGTTCCAGTTTTTTATATCATGTATAGAAATAATTTTTTTGACAACATGACATAAAATAAGCCTGTATTATTACATACTGTAAATGTAAACATTTTAAATATTTTTCAGTTTTTACTGAAAAAGTGGAATGAACAACTACAAAGTAGATCAGGTGCGGAGAAAACTGGAACCAAGGGTAAACTTATGGGGGCGACATATACCCAAACACAAGTGTACCTCAAACCGCTTTTAAGGAAATTAAAAAACTTCACCTTACCTGAAGATATCTCGGACAGTTTGACGGAAATTGTCGTTCATTTGCTAAACAGGAATTACCTTAAGGTAAACAGAGCTCCGTCATATTTCTTCAGATTAATATTTGCTACTAGTAACCGATATAAACTCTTATACAAAATTGTCACCTCTCTATAATTGGACCCTGATTTCAAAGATGAATAATTTGTGATTTTGTCTAGAAGTTTATTAATCTTTAATAATGCCACAAAAAAGGTGATTTGGGCTATGTACCATTTCAACGTACCTTTTTGACCCACTGAATCCGAATTTCCTAAAGTGCATGTTTTGGCCCTAATACCAAGACACTCTAAAAAGCGATTTTCAAGACTTCAAACATGATCTCCTTGCACGATAACCCCGTAGCTTCATATCCCCATAACTGTGAGGGAACATGAATCTCATACATCAGGGGTCCAAGACTACATGACTGGGTTGACAGGCTTACCCAACCCCGTAACCCCATATCTCTACCCCATAACCCGGGGTCTGCGATGATATATAACCACATAACTGTGGAAACATGGATCTCATATATCAGGGATTGAAACCAACATGACTGTCAGTTGGCAGGCTTCCCTGACCCCATAACCCTAGGTGTGCGAGGTGGTATAACTACGAAACTCTGAGGAACTGCGTCTTATCCTGTTATAACTCCGTAAACCCATAATCTGGGGCATATAGACTCGCGTTGCAAAGTCACCCAATTTTTTTTCTCTTTGTATCTACTTCGAAAAAATGTAATAGGTGACAGGCTTATGGGGTCATGGGGTTATCAGGTTATGGGGTTGTGGTGCAGACATCATGAATTTGGATGTTTTTCCGATCATACATGAGCTGATTTGAAATTTCAAAATTCTAACTTCTTTTTTAGAAGAATTTCTTAACGTTAGGCTCAAAACAGGGACTGATTCGTTAATTTTGACTTTAAATTGAGATCCAGCTGGTCTTGCGACCCTGTGTAACTAGTGTTTTTAAAATTAATAATATTGTAATAACCTTCAAGGCTAGCGATGCTTACCTCCAGATGGCAATCGGCAACGCCCCTTGGCCCATCGGTGTCACCATGGTGGGTATCCACGCCCGTACGGGTCGCGAAAAGATCTTCTCCAAAAACGTAGCTCACGTCATGAACGACGAGACGCAAAGGAAATATATACAAGCTCTGAAGAGGCTGATGACGAAATGTCAGGAGTACTACCCCACAGACCCTTCTAGGTGTGTGGAGTACCAAGCGTTTGGGAAACCGGAAGAGACATCTACATCTAGCTAATGCTTTAAGTGTGATAAAAAATGTATGTATGGGGTGATTCCGGTAGTTATATTTTTTATGACGTGTAAAATTCGTTAAAATAATTTTTTTGGTATACGGTTTTTCTGGAACTTAAAATTAAAAGACTTACCGTGTTAATTTTGAAGGCAACATTTATTACGGTTCTGCCTTTAATTTTTTACAACTGAGGATGGTTGCTGTAAATATATTTGAGAAAAAAATATTATTTCAGTGTTGTTATACAGGGTGATTCACAAATGGCGACCAAAAATGAAAACTCGTATTTAGTGAATTTTAAGGGGAGGTTCCATTTTTGGTCACCATTTGTGAATCACCCTGTATATGATGTTAAGAACTGTGACTCAATTTCGGAATCACCCTGTATATAATAATAATTATAAGCTAAAAAGAACTTGTTGGAAAAAATTAATATAAATTATGAATGGTCATTTTTTGTTTTACTAATATTTACCTACATTTCACGGAATAAACAAGAAAAAGGTTAATAGAAGGAAAAAAGTGTCCAAATTTATAAAATTCAAATACAGTAAGAAAATATGTTAGATTCTTTAATAAAGTCATACAAAATGAATAATAATAAATTTATATTAAATAATCGAGCGAATTACTTACATTTATTGTAAACGTTTAGGTTTCTTTTTCAAAATGAAGGGAATGCTTTTTGTTTTTTTCATAAGTTTTCATAGTAATACAATTTTACTTATTTTTAACTATGACCTTCCTATGGTTGCTTATGTATTTCAACAACAGATGGCGACACTCCCGAAAAAATCCCTGTTATACTACGAACAAGGCCACCTAGGATTTTTTGAAAGTGCACCACAGCGCCATCTAATATTATTATACCATTGTATAAGTAAATACTTATACAATGATTATACTCAAATTTTACTCGGTTGTAAATACACAAACTACTATTCTGTTAATACTTATTGTCGATATGATTCCACCAACGTCAACGCCTAATTCTTTTTACTTTGCTTTCCGAGTTCTACGGCTCTCAAAGCGGCAGCTTGCACAGCATCCATTATAGCAGCCCTATAAAATTTGCGTTAGTATTTCAGGCTTTCACAATTACAAATACATAATTTTGTTTTATAGAAATTCATCGTGAAAGAGTTTTTTTAATCTCTGTGCCCCGCTCCTGGACAGGTTAATGTAACCGGAAATCGTGCGCACTAATAACGAGTGCATAGTCCATTTTGTAAGGTAAGGTATGCATCTTTATTGATTTGTATTTGCATCTATTATACAGGGTGATTCACAACTTATCCAAAAATATATGGGAATAGATGCGTTATGAAAAATGGAATCAAAATCTTTTGGAAAATCCTTATAGTTTCCGAGAAAAAAATTATTGAAGTTGTAGTATTTTCAACCTATACATCATTGGGTTACTGAAATCCGATTTTACAATTGTTGCGATAGTGTGTACATTAGTTTTTCAAGTGTCAAAAACTGCTTACGTGTACAGCAACTCGGGAGTTGATGAAGATTGTATTAATTTATAGTGAAGTAAGACAACATTTGTGTTATGGTGAAGCAAGACAACATGTGTTAGTTCGTAGAAACTTGATTTTTTTACAAAATTATATTTGTGAGATCCCCTGTAATCCCCAAAAATTATTTATTTGGATAAGTTATGAATCACCCGGTATTAATTTAACATCACTCTAACAGGGAAGCTTTCAGCTTTCTCGTTTTGTTTAATGATTTTTAAGTTTTTTTGGCAATAAATTCTATATACCTCGGAAACAGCAGGCAATACTGACAAATTCACACATACGACCAAGTTCAGGAACTACCTAGTAACGGCGTAGACAAGACAGTTTAAAAAATGAATTATAATTTGATTACTTATTATTATATAAAAGAAATTAATAATTTCAGAGGAACAATCAAACTGACCCTCAATTAAAGTTACACCCTGTATAATATACAGGGTGTTTCAGGATTAAGTCGACAAACTTTAAATAAAAATTAAAAGAAATAAGAAAAAAATCAAGTATACATTTTTTTTAAGACGCTTCATTTTCGAAATATAGGACGTTAAAGATTTTTAAAAAAAATCGGATTTTTTAAATAACTTCTAAATGAAGAAGGCTGTTTAAGCCAAATTTGGCATGACACATCTTCTTATGAGATACCATTTTTCCGTAGAAGTAGAAGTCCCGCAAGCAACCAGTGGCGGAGTTATGGGGACTCAGACTCATTAAATTATAAAAAAAAATAATACAGCCCTACAGAAAATAAAAAATGATGCTGTTTTTAGATAGAACAGTTTGTTATTGACAAAAAGTTTTTCTAACTCTTATAGTTTTATGGCAAAATTGATTTTTCAGAAGGTGCTTCTGGATTCTGTCGATAAATTTAGGAAGACGTTCCTCATAAAACTTAAAAAAATATAGTACCTATTAAAATTGGTCTTAGTCTCGAGTATGTGTGAGTCAAATAAGCCTTTTTGTCTCCCTTTCCCTTGGGTTTCACCAATAGTATTAAAATTATTTAGGAGATGCTTCCTTTTTGAGATGTAGGGTGTTTTTTTTAGAAAAAAAAAATTATGTTGATGAAAACAATAGAAATATTTAAGTACCTAACATCTAATGTGACTACGTCGTAATGCGACAACGTAACGACCCTTGCAATACTCCTAAATTTTTTCAGGTGGTTTGTAGTCACTTCATTTACTTGTGTTGTGTACTTTTAAATAAAATAAGATGGCAAACAATACATGAAAATTTATTTGTAAATTGAAACAACAAAAAAATTAGCAATTAATATTATACCTAGACAAAGCGAAAAGTGAATCAAAAATGAAATGATTTAAAAAATATTTTGTTCAAAACGGGCGCCTCCGGACTGTAGACAAGCACGACATCTTCTAATTACGGAGGTAGTGGCCGATCGACACTGAATTGGAGTTAATTCTCGACACGCTTGGACTACTTATTCGCTGTCTTAGATCTTGTAGGGTATCAACTGGCACCTCGTAGACTTTTCGTTTAACAGCACCCCAAACGAAATAATCCATCGGTGTCAAGTCCGGTGAACGTGCGGGCAACGCTGCAGGTCCTCCACGACCAATCCATCTCCTGGGATAATTAATGTTTATCCACTCCCTAGGACCTCTACCAAAATGGGCAGGACAACCATCTAGTTAAAACCAACTGTTCATTCAAGTATTAAGCGGAACATCTTCTAACAGATCTTGAAAACCATTTTCAAGGAACTCGGAAAACTTATCAGCATTTAACCGATGCGGAAGGAAGTTAGGTACTTAAATATTTCTATTGTTTTCATCATAATTTTTTTTTTTTTCTTAAAAGCACCCTATATCTCAAAAACAAAGCATCTCCTAAATAATTTTAATACTATTGGTTAAACCCAAGGGAAGAGGTGACAAAAATGCTTATTTGACTCGCACATAATCGAGCCTAAGACCAATTTTAATAGGTACTATATTTTTTTATGTTTTATGAGGAACGTCTTCCTAAAGTTTATCGACAGAATCCAGAAGCACTCTTCCAAAAAATCAATTTTGCCATGAAACTATAAAAGTTAGGAAAAAAAGTGAATGTACACTTTTTGTCAATAACAAACTGTTCTATCTTAAAACAGCATCATTTTTTATTTTCAGTAGGGCCGTATTAATTTTGTTTATAATTTAATGAGTCTGAGTCCTCATAACTCCGCCACTGGTTGCTTGCGGGACTTCGATGGAAAAATGGTATCTTATAAAATGAGTCATGCCAAATTTGGGTTAAATAGCCTTCTTCATTTAGAAGTTATTTAAAAAATTCGAATTTTTTAAAAAACCTTAAACACCCAAAATTCCAAAAAGAAACCGCCGGAAAAAAAATGTAAACCTGATTTTTTTTCTTATGTTTGTATGAGGAATATCTCCTTAAAGTTGGTCGACTTAATCCTGAAACACCCTTTATACTACACACATCACTTCAAATATTTTTTTTAGTTACCTGGCAGCACCACGTTCCATAGCGTGAATACCAGCGATAGTCTGTCCTCCGGCAGAGCAAACCTCGTCCTTCAAAATCCCCATATGTTTATTCGTCTCCAAGACCATCTTCGCTGCACCCATAACCGTTTGTGCGGCAAATCTTGTCGCCATTTCTCTGTGCAAGCCCATTCGCACGCCTCCATCAGAAAGCGCTTCGATAAACATATACACCTTAAACAGTTTTTATGTTACGGGCCTCGAATCATTAACTAATATTAAACTCACAAAAGCTGGTCCACTAGCTGACACTGCTCCAACAGCGTTTATCATGTGTTCGGGTACGGGTTGGCACAATCCTGTGACGTCTAGAAGGCTTCCGATTAGTTCTTTATCGGCATCGGTGACCGCCGTTCCTGTAGCGTATACGGTACAACCCTCGCCTATTAACACAGGGGTGTTTGGCATGACTCGCACTACTCTTGCCCCTTCAAAAGTCCCCAGCATCTAAAAAATGGAATTGGAGTTACTTGCGTGCCCCAAGTAACATTGAGTTACTCCATCAATATCTAGTAAATCGCTAGTCATAAATGTCCAAATTGAAAACTGGAAGTATTTGTTATTTTTATAATTTATAATTATTACTAGCTATTTACTGGATATTGGTGGTGAAATTCAATGCTATTTGTAGCATGCAGCCTACGGAATAATAGTTTCCTGCAATATCAACAGTTAAAAATCTTGTATGTATGTTTTTTCTGGTATTCTAGCATCGCAGAACATTGTTGGACATAATTTAATAAGATTTTTTAGGAAATGTAAGAGTTAATAATAGAATATACGTTTTTTAAAAATTATTTTTTTCACCTCTTCGAGATCCTTGATTGTTACCCCGGCTAAGATAGATATGAATAACTTGTTTTTTATTTTGGAGACCAAGGGGCTGTCCTTTATTTGGCCGACCGCTTCCTGTAGAATATGCGGCTTAACAGCCAAAAATACTATGTCGGCCTCCTTTGCCACAACCGAATTATCTGTAGAAACGTTAGCTCCTAGGTCCTTCCAGATGTCCAGATTTTTTATGTAGGGGCTCGAAACGTACACTTGCGAGTACTGAATTAAACCTAAAAACAAAGGAACGGTAGATTATGTTTAATAATGGGGGGAAATTTCGATTACCTTTCATTTTTATGCCTCGGCAGATCGCTTTTGCCATGCTACCGTCTCCTATGAAGCCTATCTTTTGAGTTATTTTGGTGGATGCAGTGCAAAAAGTTTGGCCCTTTATTTTGATGACATACTTTAGTCCACATCTAAAAGATTCAATCATATACAGGGCGTCTCAACAAACAACAGTCATACTGCATACTGATGGTTGATGTAAAAACAGTTGAATATAAATCAACTTATTTTTAATCTCTGGAAATTGACAAAATTTCATAGAATTTTCTCATTTTTTGTGTTGTATGGACAAATAATTCAGAAATTTAAAAAAAAATCATACATCCCCTTTTCTGGGGAAAGAAATAATTAAAGATAACTTTTACTCATATAATGTCGGTTCCCAGATATTAATAAATCGTTTTAAAAGTAAAAAAAATATCACTGTAATGATAATCATTTTTAGACAAAGGAAACTAGACTAAAATTCAACCGTTGTTGCCTCTGAAATCTTGGTTGCTATTTTCTAGGACACCTTGTAGAATATTTACGTAAGCTTGTCACTTTTTTTTAAATAACAACAATACGTATTATTAGTTATTCGTGTTTTTGTTGAAAATTAATAGTTTTTTTAAACTAACAAGAGTAAGAAAAGTTTTAGAATTAAATTCCCCATAAAATAAAATAAAATTGATTATGCCATTCGATAGAGGGCAAAAAGTGGCCATGAGAAAGTGTACTTCTTTTTTCAATTCCACCTCAAACAAGGTTGAGATGAAACAAAAACGATTTCCAAAATTTTGATTTTTTTTCAAATATTTCGAAATCTAATCATGTTAGCCTTGATTTTTTAGAGGTATAATGTTGGTCCCCTGATTACGCAACTTTGCCCCCATTTAAGCTACTTCGTACCTCTTACCATTTCCGAGATCCCTGTTGAATACTGGTAAGATTTTTTAAATAAAAAAAAAACGGAATTCGTTATGTAAAAATGTATATTTAAACATTAAAAAATATATAAAAAGTAAATACCTATGTCAACTAACAGCTACCTACACTTAGCCAATACTTAATAATTATTTTTGGTATAAAATCGTGTAAATGTAAATTATATATAAACAATAATACAATCACAAAAAAGGTACACAATAATATATGCCTCGAAATACAAATAATGTATAAAAAGTTTTTATTAGAATTGTATATAAATATTGAGGATCTTAACATAGTCTAGATTAGTACAAAATGATACTATGGATTAATAACTTTTTTATATTTACCAGTACCGCTTCTGAAAATGACTTATTTTGAGCAAAGGAACTTGAGATTCTTTACTTCCCGACAGGCATTTCCTTAGTTTTGGAATGTTCGATTGTAAACATTTGACTTAAATAGTTCATTGCACAACATTTAAGGCAACTTTTGCAATGCTCGACTTTGGAAAACCGACATAATAGTCTTCTAGAGCATTTTATTATGCGGCCAAGCAAGGAAATTGAACTTATCCACTAACTCAAACGATATTTTAGAATTGCGACTAGTAAAACTTCATTGGCAATTGGTGAAATGAACCTTAGTTGCACAATGAACAGTGTATACCGAAAATCAATTGAAAATTGATCTTCGTTAATCGTAACTTTACATGTTTGCAAAAATGATACGGAATGATTTGTTTGTATACGGCTGCTGCCATCGCAAATCTTGTAATCACAAAGATATCGATTGCCTTTGATTAAACACACTATTTACCAAATGACAAAGCATATTAACAAATTTCGGGTATACGTATACGAAAAAAGCTAGTAATTTGTTGCTTATAACTAATTAGAGTTAAGTACTACTATAAACAATTGAATAATCCAAGATAACATGAACACCAAGGTATAAATCAATAATGAAATAAATCGCAGCCCTTCTCGTTAGAAATTAGATTACTTCTATAATTGTTACACTTATATTAGACTTTTATATCTCACAGATGAGAAACCACAGAAACAACAGTAAAAAATTTTCAATATGACAATAAGTCTTGCAATCTCTATGTCCATTCTTCAGCATTTAATTTCTTACAATAAATAACTTTCCCACAATAAATTTCACTCCTAATATAGGAGCCACAAGACACAAACATACAAACATTATAAAAATTGCAAAAAAATGCGCCCTAGAATAACACTTCAGCTCTTATATAAAAAATATTGTTTCCAACAATATCTCGGTTCTAAATATACATTACCGTGACGAATAACATCCAATATCACAATTACCTCTAACATTAGCTGCAATTATAATTAGCGTGAACTTAATAATTTTTGTACTTCCACATTCTAGATGTTATTCTAAGGCACAAATCAAACTCTCCCCTCAAAATTTGCATAAACGTCTAGTGCATTGGTAATGAAAGCATATTAGCACGTATATCCGTGAGCGTTTGATGAATTATCAGAAAACTAGGTCGATCCACGGGTTTCTGACCCCAGCACTGCTTCATAAGTTCGTACACGGGCGCTGGACAACTGTCCGGACTAGACAAAACGTTACCGTCCTTCAAATACTTGATAACCTCCTCGTGCGTCATTCCATAATAAGGTTGCAGGGCAAAAGAGAATATTTCCCATAAGCACACCCCGAACGCCCACACGTCGGATTCGGGTGTATACTTATTGTAAAGGATGCTTTCGAGGGGCATCCAACGCACCGGTATGGCATCCCTGTCACTACCTTTATAGTAATCTTGAAGGTATATCTTCTGCGACAGTCCAAAGTCTGCTATTTTCACCACCATATCGTCACTTATTAAACAGTTTCTAGTTGCCAAGTCACGGTGTACGAATTTGCGGTCGGAAAGGTATACCATCCCCGATGCAATTTGAAGGGCAATGTTAATTTTGTCCAGATGAGTAAGCTGGTTATCTTTGTATATTTCCTTGTTGGTAAATTCACCGTCGATCACGCTACGCACTACGTAATTACTTGGCGAGCACTGTCGCAAAAACTCATTCAAGTCGCCTTTCCCCATGTACTCGAAAAGAAGGCACATCGGTCTTCCAACTGCACAGACTCCCAGCAATTTCACAATGTTGGGGTGATCAAATTCCGCTAAAAGACATGCCTCTTTTTCGAAATCGTCTTGCATGTCATCTGAGGCATCGTCTTTGAGCATCTTTACAGCGACCACCGTGAATTCCTCTCCCGAAATCAAACCAGGGGCCTTAGCTTGAAAAACGCTTCCAAAGGCCCCTTGCCCCAAGTCTCTAATGTATATGATATCATTTCTGGGAAACTCTAGCTTTTCTAACTTTGGGTTTAAAGTGGCACCATGGCGATGATATGCTACGTTACTCGGTAGTTTATCTAAATCTATATTGATCTCTGCTATTTCTGGGGCGTTATATCCTAATAGATGACGTTTGTGGAGACGATGACATAACAAAATGAGTAGAAGACACACCACAATCACCAACAACCCGACTCCTGACATGATTATCAAGAAAGCCGGAGATAAAAACTGGTCCATCGCGATGTTCTTGTTTTCAATATCATCGCTTGTTGAGTTTAAGCAGCGAGGAATGTCACAGTGCTGCCATCTTATCGCAGGATTAGTTGTAAAACACCAGGGACGTTTTTCTTCACCTCCAGCATTGCGACAGAAGTTTTCAGAGTTTTTTAACTCGGGGAATATATCTGGAGGCGAATCGTGTGTATGTGGGAACTGGGCATCCCATCTTTGACAAGGGATCGCATTTTTTGTTATATTAACTTTGCCCTGATAAAATCTGCCTCGTCCTTTAACACAATCATATGTAATTTCATCTCCTTTCATTTCGGTTAAACCAGCATAGGAACATCCCACGGTTTTATTTGAAAAAAGTGGTAAAATATTACAATCTGGCAGACGAAAATGTTTCCTTGACTTAACGAAGACTCCTTGTGCTTTTTTATCTTCTAGTAATGCCCATTCTTTGTAACAAAATAACTCTTTAACTGCTACACAATCTTCATGGCACAATGGGAGTGGTTTGTCAATATTACATTCAGGAAAGGCATAAACACACAATAGTTTTTCGGCAGCAGATCTGCATGGTTCCTCCAACGTAACAATTAATTCTTCCCATAAACCTGTAGTTATGACTTCATTTTCGTAACCACCACTATTGTTGTACCACACACTTTTCGTATTTTCAACATATTTTTTACAGATATTGCCGTGATAAACCCCACAATAACCCTGCAACTCCGCATGAAAACCATGAATAAAAAGGACAAATATAAAAATTGAATACATATTTTAATCTGATCACGTAACAGTTTACTATGACATTTTATTAAATCTTGGTATGATTTTTCTACTTTTTAACTATCTATAGTAAACAGCTAATTCCTGTCAAAAAAGATGACAGCTTAACTACCACGCCAAAAATCTATTAAGAAGTTAGTAAATGTAGTAAAATAATTTCAAGTAATATTCTTTCAGAAGAAGATGAAGAAATCAATAGCAGCAGTTTTCCATTTATCTCATTAAACCTTAAAGTTACAAATCTGCAGAATCATTAATCTTATTTGCAGAAAATGATGCCATACATATCATCGCAGTAACAAATAAGTCAAAGAATAATCTACCTACAGTTGGATCCCAAAATAATAGGCAGTAATTTCATATTTAATCCGGCTCACTATTTTTAACAGTCAACACAAAGAGAAGTACGAGCCGTTTGTAAACTCTTCATATAAAATTGTATGTACCGCATTCTCCCACAGCAGCCGATATTGCATAATTTTAGGATATTCTGCTGCGTTTGGCGTGCACCAGTGATTTTGGATTTGTGTTCTTAAAACTGGGGAGTAATTCAATCTGGATGGTATTTTAAAAATGAGCTTCAGAAAATAAAAATTCAGACTGCTATCTCACTGGATCAAAATTTGCTTAGAATATCGTGCTTTTGCCAACTATGCGTGACTTGATTTTCCGTTTTATAAAACAAAATCGAAAGAGTATGCTGATAGAAAAAGAGGAAATAGTGATTTGGCAAAGAAACTATTTAAGACAAGTATTCGAAGCTCGAAAACTAAATCGTAGAATGTATTACACGGATGAAATATGAATAAATGAAGGTCATACGGTGACAAAAGGCGATCATTGTTTTTTATACGATACGCTATCATAAATCAAAATAAGGACTGACGTTTGTAGGCAGTGAGGATCCAAGAAGAATTGTGATCAACGAACGCCCTTAGAACTGACAAATTATGGAATTATTATTTGTTACTTTTAGTACCGTATTATAATAGTTTAAATGACAAAATCCCTCATTTTTATAATCTAGTCATGGATATCTAATGTTAGTGGGTATACTTTACATACATTCAGTGTTGTTAAAATTTAAAAAATATAATATATGTTATCGCCCCGCCAGTCCCGCCACTGGAGACACAAAAATTTATACATTTATAATTTACAAACATATTCGCAGTTTTTATGGCCCTATTATTTTAATACATGATACATAATAACACTAAAGATCTACTGAATAATGGAATTTTCTGTCAATTCAATTAGGTACAGTTGACGAACCTTCTACTGATTATGTCTATCAAGTTCCGACGAAGATTTTCTCCCATGTCAGTCGATGTTTTACCATTAGTTTGGAGTGCATGTTGAAGACCCCTAATTATCGGAATTACCATAGACATAGTCAGATATTTTTCCCCTGACAGTAAAGTTGTTGTAGTGTCAAATGGTTTTAAGACTGCCACACAATCTTTTAGAATACTCCATTCGTTGGCATCTNTTTCCGTTTTATAAAACAAAATCGAAAGAGTATGCTGATAGAAAAAGAGGAAATAGTGATTTGGCAAAGAAACTATTTAAGACAAGTATTCGAAGCTCGAAAACTAAATCGTAGAATGTATTACACGGATGAAATATGAATAAATGAAGGTCATACGGTGACAAAAGGCGATCATTGTTTTTTATACGATACGCTATCATAAATCAAAATAAGGACTGACGTTTGTAGGCAGTGAGGATCCAAGAAGAATTGTGATCAACGAACGCCCTTAGAACTGACAAATTATGGAATTATTATTTGTTACTTTTAGTACCGTATTATAATAGTTTAAATGACAAAATCCCTCATTTTTATAATCTAGTCATGGATATCTAATGTTAGTGGGTATACTTTACATACATTCAGTGTTGTTAAAATTTAAAAAATATAATATATGTTATCGCCCCGCCAGTCCCGCCACTGGAGTGACTGGAGACACAAAAATTTATACATTTAGAATTTACAAACATATTCGCTGATTTTATGGCCCTATTATTTTAATACATGATACATAATAACACTAAAGATCTACTGAATAAACGAATTTTCTGACAATTCAATTAGGTACCTACCATCATTTTTTGAAGATATTTTAAATGATAGGTATGATGTTCTTTCGAACGTAAACAAAAAATATCAACGAATATTATGTACATACATATAATAAAAACAGATTAATAGGGTTTACAGAATTACTAACAACTGAACTCTAATATTAAGAAGTCCATAAAAGGGTCGTACAAGGTTATCAAAATTGAAAGATTACTGACCTAATCCCGTGAAGACTGTGAGTAAAATTAATTGGCATCATTCCCACTCTTTTTTCTAAGATAAGGAGTATTTCTGTATTTACAGATTAATTTTTATTTCTCGTTTTATAATAGACGTTCTGGAAATGACACACCAACGACCAACGTTCGTCTGGTTATTTTATTTCCTTTATAACCTATATTTCCTTTTTCATTCATATATTTAGTTTAGAACTGCGATTAATTTATACATTGACGTTTGCCACATATTTTCGTTATTTAACATTTAACAAATCTCAATTATTAAGTTACCTTGCCAAGATGTGTAGAAAACAATGTGGTATATATTAAAATAAAATGTACTGTTTTAAGTAGACAAGTGCAAGAAATACCGTCTTTGTATTGCTATCGTGGTTTAAATTATGAATAAAAAAAGAGAAATCTCTTCAGCTAACATTTATTGCAGTGAGTATTTGTCTAAATAATATTTTATTAAAACAAATTATAGATCTGGGAGCTCCTTATTGATAAAATCTATTGGAATGGCTCCATTTACAAATTATATGATATACTAATTATTTTTCATCGTACAGTGTTTCTTCTCTCCTAGTTCTATAGACTTCAAAGTTGCTGCTTCGATGGCATCCATAATTGCGGCTCTAAAAAATATATGTCAGTATTCACGATGGAATAATAATTGTTAATATCTTACCGAACACCACCCCTTTCAAGAGCATGTATACCTGTAATGGTAGTTCCTCCTGGTGAACAAACTTCATCCCTCAATTCTCCGGTGTGTTTTCCCGTTTCTTTAACCATTTTAGCGGCTCCCAGTACCGTTTGCGTTGCAAACTCCACAGCCATCGCTCTTGGTATACCCATTTTGACACCCCCATCGGCCAGAGCTTCTATCATCAAGTAAACCTTTAAAAAAAACGTTAATTTCATCCCGAGTCTGTCATAATACGAGTATTCTTACGAAGGCAGGTCCGCTTCCGGACAGTGCGCCGACTGCGTTTATGAGAGATTCGGGTACTTGCTTACAAACCCCAGATACAGACAGAATAGATTTGACGATTTCTATATCGTTTTCTGTTGCTCTTTGACCGGGGCTAAACACCGTGCATCCTTCACCCACCATCATAGGCGTATTGGGCATGACTCGGATTAAACGACAGCCCTCCAGACTGCATAATACCTACAAGTTACAAATTTAGACCAAGCTACAAAAAAATTATGATTTTCTACACATTTTCTAGCTGTTGCATGGGAATGCCTGCTATTACTGACACAAACAACTTAGACTTCAGTGGTTTTTGTGATAAAGTGTCAAACATATTTGCAATGGCACTTGGCAGAATATGCGGCTTAACAGCTAGAATTATTATATCCGCTTCTTCAACCACAGTTCCGTTTTCTGAGAATACGTTAGCTCCTTTCCTTTGCCACTCAACTAAATTTTCTAAGCGGGGTCCAGAAACGTAGATCTGATTGTAGCGAATTAAGCCTGTCAAAAAAAAAAAGAATTAAATCTGGTGTGTAGACAAATCTTTATATTACCTTTTCTAACTATTCCCTCACTAATTGCCTTAGCCATGTTACCACCGCCAATAAAGCCTAATTTTCCAGAAAGTGGTTTTACATTCGAGTTTTGCATTTTATTTTCTTAAATGCCCAAATTAATACTGTAAGATTTACAAATACCTAAATAATACTTTCTATTGCCGTTGATAGACTTATCCGCTAATATATAAAACGGTACTTATGACACAAATTATTAATAATGGAATCCAAAAATGAAGGTTAAATTAGATTAGTTATAGGGGTTATCAATTTTTTTTAATTATTGTAATATTGTAATTATTGAAATACTGGGTCGTTTTTTTCTGTTTTCTATAGTATGATCATTGTTTTTAATTTTAGAAGACAAGTTAAACAATCTTGGTTAGTTCTCTTCAATGAAATCCAGATGGCAGTGCTAAGGAAGTGTGTTTAATCATAAATATCTATATGCTTTTACGTTAGAGCATTATTTTTAGAAGAAAACAATGATTGTACAATGTTCTACCGTAAAACCAGATATATTTACATTTTTTTATGAATAAACAAACTTTATTTGCACTGCCATCTAGATTTCACTGAAGAGAACTAACCAAGGTTGTTAAACTTATCTTCTAAAAACAATGGTATAATATACACTTACTAATTCTTCTTCTTCTTAATCATTTTAAAAATAACTGAAGCACTACACAAATGATGTTCACTTTCCCATTTTTACAAGTCTGTGCTTTAGTACAGGAACGGGTCGTAAGATGGGCAATTTAGATAGAAAAAAACATACAATTCAATGCAGTTCACATTCACACTTCAGTCTTCACTCAGTTCAGTAATACTCTGCTCTAAAAAAAAGGTAACATAATTTCGCAATTTGCAATTTTATAAACGTTAGTTTTGAAATATAGCCTTTTTGAGCAATTTTGGAAAAAATATCTGCCATCATTTGTTTTTTGTACTTATTAGGGGTTTACGAAAATTATATATCTGACCAACTAATCCGAGCGCTGCTTACTCTGTTCAGAGTGCTCTTTTAAATTGACTATTTTCGTAAGCACCTAGTCGAAATAGATCTAATCTAACCTCTATCCACTATCAAAATGCAATAATCCTACAAATAAATGTGAAAAATGTTACATGCATGATGTACCACTACGCTAATATGTTCATCTACATCTACCATATAAATTGTTATTTGACGATATTGTAATTTTTGATTTTTTTTTCTATACAAGACAAGAAGAAAATGAAACGAAGCTTACATTTCATTCAACAATCATCAAAACAACATAAAACATAACGAAACATCCGTTTTTAATTTTTTTATTATACCTATAATAAACAACACGCATGCGCAAATTTCAGATCATTCTTTAATCTGAATAAGCAAGGGTGACTAGGCGCTCAGATTTTCTATATCTGAGCATTGAGGTTGCATTTTCGTAATCGTAATGAGATCGAATCATCAGAGTGAATATTCGTAAAGCATTTTCTTGTTCCGACCACTCCGATACAATTATCGTAAACCCCTATTATGTCAATGGCTTGTATATACAAAACGGAATAATCTATATATTTAAAACAAAATTAAATATCATGGATTTAAAACTACACAACTATTGAAGTTCGGTCCCTTATAGTACGAGTACGCGTCAAAAGAGACGTTGCTATAACTCGATTTGGTTGAAAGTAAAGAGTTATCAACCTATCTTCTGCGAAATTAGAGAGGTTTGTTCAAAACTTCAAACATTTTGATTTTGTATTTTGTTCAACTTTAAAAATGTAAACAAAACTATCTAGTAAAAACATGCTCTTTTGCGCTGAAATAACAGATTTTAGAATAGTTCACAATGTGCTAAGGTCCATTGCGATGAAAGATGTAAGAAAAGTTAATATATTTTTATAGAGAATTATTTTTTAACACTTTCAGTTTGCTATACTTCGCCCAATGGAAGAAGGATTAAAAGTGACTTTAGATGATATGAAATGTGTAGAAACTTCTGCTTATATTCCCTGCGGTATGTTCTCATTTTACCACATAGGCAATAAGGAAGACATCATTTTTAAAATAAGTTTGAAAACACTAGTTGAAATACTAAACATATTTGGTGACGATGGAAACCCTAATTTAAAATTAACTTATAAGTCTATAGGATCACCCTTATGCTTAGTGTAAGTAAAATTTGAAAAATACTGTCTTGTCTTTTACACTTGCAATTTCAGTATGAAACATAATCAGGAGAATATAACTGTTGATTGTGAAATTAGAACAATGAATCTTGATGATTGTAACGATATAAGTTTAGCGGATGAGTGCGATTTAAATAAGATGGTTATAAATGCCAGTATATTAGCCGATTTATTGCAAAGGCTTGATAATTTGGCAGACGAAATAACATTAACTATGAGCCCAGATCCGCCTTACTTTACATTGAAAACCACCGGCATTGCTGTAAGTTTTCATAGAAGCGAAATTGATCTTTATTGTACATACAATTTTTATAGGGCGAGTCCGAAGTAAACATTTCGAAAAGCTCAGAGTCTGTTACAGTATTCAAATGTGAAGAAACTGTGACTGCTCAGTACAATTTCGGAAATATTAGGCAAATTTTAAAGGTGATGACATACGCTAATAAAGTTGCTATTTCAACAGGACCGTCGGGGCTTTTAGGCTTACAATTAGTGATTAATTCCGATGATAAACATATGTATGTGGAGTATTACGTGACTTCACTTTTTATACCTGATTAACAAGTTTATAATGTGAATAAAAGATGTCGTATATTTTTGTGCCAGGAAAACAAAAGATATTTTTATAAGAATTGTATTAACGATTTTAAGAATATCACAATATATTTACAAAAATAGAGAATATCGCATTACTATTTATTTCCTTTTCCAACTGCTTGACAAACATTGCTGTATCCATCTTTACTTAACAGTTCGACAAGTTCTTTTTTCACTTTTGCGACGATAGGTGGACCTTCGTATACCAAAGCTGTATAAAGCTGAACTAAGCTCGCACCCGCCTTAATCTTTTCGTAAGCGTCTTGACCTGAAGAAATACCTCCTACACCTGAAATTAACCAAGTTGTAAAAGACATTCTGATTTTTTTTGTTCGCCGTCACCTATAATCGGCAATCCACCTGTAAGTTTACTCATATCTGCTATCATCCGTGTAGACATGTCTTTCAAAGGTTCTCCGCTCAAGCCCCCCGTTTCATTCTTGGTTTCTACGCTTTTCAAACTGTCTGGTCTCTCGACTGTAGTGTTGCTGATGATCAAGCCATCCACCCTACATTTTTTCTGGTTTAAAACGTCCGCTATGTCCTTTTTTTCTGCGTAACTCAAATCCGGAGCCAACTTCAGTAACAGAGGTGGTTTTTCTTTTAGTGGCAAGTTATTTCTTGTTTCAATAAGGACGGCTAGTAATTTTTTCAATTGTTCTTTGTGTTGCATATTTCTCAAACCGGGGGTGTTTGGACTACTTATATTTATAACCAAATAATCTGCTAAAGGTCCAAATTTGATTATTCCCTCAATGTAATCATTTATTGGGTCCGTTGAAGATTTATTTTTCCCTAAATTTACACCTATAATATTTGATTCTTGGGCGTCCTGCCTGACATTCTCAATTCTTTTTAATACTTCACTGTGACCTTCACTGTTGAAGCCGTATCTAAAATCCTACTTTCAATAACCAAGTTGAATTAATTAAATGACTTACCTATTTATAACGGCATAATCCTTCAATAAACGGAAGACTCTTGGTTGTTCATTGCCTGGTTGAGGCTCGGGGGTAACTGATCCAACTTCGACAAATCCAAAACCAATATCTCTTAATCCGAGAATAGCCTTACCGTCTTTATCAAATCCTGCTGCAATACCTACTGGGTTGGAAAATTCCTTGCCAAATATTTTTACTTTCTAAAATCAGTCAGAATACACTGAAATGCGAGTTAAATTGCTGTTATTTACATACTAGTAGTTCAGGATCTTCATATCGAGTTTTTGGAAAAAGTCGATATTTACTGGCGAGCACTGCAAAATTATGAGCTCTTTCGGCATCGAGTAAATGAATAACGGGCATAACATAGTTTTTATAAAATTTTTCGTCGCCTTTGTAAATACTTATTGCGGAAAATGTACCATAACCGGCTAGTGTCACGTATAACAAAGACCTCAGTTTTTTCTAAAAAAATTAAATCTCTGAAATTATTGTAAACGTTATAGATTACTGTACCTTTGAGCTCATTTTATTTCAAGTATTAATTGAGATTTAAATGTTTGTATTTTAAATTTCAGAGCACGATAAAGTAAGGTTAGATTGTTTTTCTTCTTCTTCTTCTCGAGCTAAGACTATGAAAGTAATAACAAGAACACTGATCTTTATAATACTATTTGGTACCAAAATGTTTAAGTATCTCGATTCTAATTCAGTTCAGTGCGAACAGCCGAGCTGAGCGGACGTGTTTGTTTGTGAGGTGAAGTGATTGCAACGGGCAAAATCTACCTGCCTTTATTAAGGCTACCTGGAAAGAATCCCTTTCTTTCCTTTTAATCACCGACCTAATCCCCGGCTAAGCATAGAGGCCGTCGGCATCTTTGTTGCAGGCACCTGTCCCGGGGTTATGCCCAGGTAAGTTTTTACTTATTTATCAGTTATTTGCATTACTTTAAAATACATTTCTTTAAAATTGCGACCCCCGACAAACAATATACCAGACAGACAAATACACCAAAAGACACGTACGCCCCCGTAAGGGGGCATCCCCACACGACTAACACTTACACACCCACCCACACACACCCACACACACCCACACCCACACCCACACCCACCCCCACACCATCTCCCACAAACCCACACACCCACACCCACCCACACACCCACACTCACACGCACACGCACACGCACCCGCTCCCGCACCCGCACCCGCACCCACACCCACACCCACACCCACACCCACACCCACAC